TATCGCTTTGTAACTCGCAATTCCTTGAACAAACTCTGTTCTGCCTTAATTATCCCATCTATACTTACTTTAATTTGATTTTTGAGCTCAAACTTTAGTAAATTCATGAGTAATACAAAGCTTATAAATTATAAAAGAAGAATTTTGATGATTCGATATTTAACTATATAAAAATTTATGATCAGAATAAGTTTTTCTCGTGAAAAATCTACTTGTCAAGTAATTTCACTTTCTCCTAGCAACAAAAATCGTATAAAACTAGCTAAATTTAAATTCAAAACTTAATTAAATTACATTCCTTCACTTAACCTTAATAGTTCGATGCGCTAATTTCATAAATAATCCTACATTCGTGTTAATTTTAATCAAAAATGTCGGTAGTAATAAAGACTTAATTGTCATTTTTGTAATTATCATTACTATATACAATTAATATTTTAAGAATGATAAATTTGCTTAGTTTTGCAGTTACTTATATACAGAATTTCATGAAATATAACCGAAAAATTTTATTGTAAGAGCAAGTTTTAAAGTATCTGACCTGCTATTATTTCTAGAATTATTAATGTTTTTGCTTATAAATATAATGTAGATAACTAAGGGGGAAAAAAAAGAATTTCTCTTTACTTAACCCGATTTTGATGTCTAGACATAATTTATCGCTTATTTGTATAGAGTGATATGAAAAAAATGTGGAAAATCAAAGTTAATGATTTAATGATAAACATCATACATTGAAGAATATAGGCCTACAACATTAACATTTAAAAATAATAAAAGCAACAAATGATCTTATCTTTCACTTTTAATTAGCCCATTTTGTGTGTTGTTTTCTTTTTAATTTTATAAATATTTGTAACATAATTTTAAATTGTTTTCTAGGTAAATTCATGCTCATACATTTATATAAAGTTTACTGATTTTAACAGCTGAACACATGCAAGCTTCTAACAAAGCGAATGTAACATAGAGACAGACAGACAGATAATTTTAAAGTTATAATGTATAAAAATGCTTCAATGTTATAAATCTACACAGGCTAAATCTCCTTTTTTTAATTTTTAAATTTCAAATTTTACACATTAAAGTGCAATTTTATATCTTAAAATACAATATAGATCCTATTCTAGTAAAACTTTTCTATAAATTCCACAAAAAATATAAGATTGAAAATTTCTTTTTGGATATTTTTCGATCATAACCATCGATATCTTCACATTTTAGTCAATTATTATTCAATCACGTGGTTCTAATCACTAATCTAAAATGTTTTAAATAATGCGATGATAAAATTAGGCTATAATCAGGGATTTTACAGCATCAAACTTTAATTTATTCTTCATATTATGATAAACATATGAGGGGTAACTGTTTATTTTGAAGAGATAAAATTCAATGTTCTTATCGGAATTTTCTCAGCTGATTGATGTACGAATTTAATCATATATTTAAAATATTTGAATAAACTAATGTAAATAATTTACTTAATAATCGAATATTTAATCAAAAAAAATTTTTTTTAATAAATAAAACGTCGAAAATATTTTCTGTTGTAAGAAAAATACTCTGTTTATGGATTTATTTATTATTATTTAATTTATAAATTTTTAAAGTGTTTATTAAGCTCCAAAATCTATAAAAATTCTGTATAAAGTACTTATTCTAATGTAATTTATATGCCTTATATTTCAATTTAAAAAATTTTCTAAATAAAATCGTAAAATTTGTGTTTAAAAGTTTTAAATTTCTTAAAAATTCAACTAAAATAGGATCAAGATAAAGATCAAATAACATATTTAGTATTAGGATTTAATGGAGTTTTCTTAATAGAAAAATTGTTACTTGAATCCATAAAATGATTTACGAGTGTCAATTATATATCATATAAATTTGCAATAATCAAACTACAGAATCATAAATCTAACAGCGCTATATAGTCTTATACTGTATACATCTTCATGCTTCACTCGTAAACTCATTAATTTTAAATTAAAATAAAAATAGGTGCAAACTATATATTTATCTAGCGAATACATCTTTAAATAATGTATAAAATAGACAATTAGAACACCGAACCTTTACGAATAAATCAGTGATAAGTTTACAGGAATGACCCAAAAATGTTAACATTATTAATGAATAATTAGAATATGTAATTATATATCAGAGGAGTAAAACTGTAATTGTTAGTTAATTAAACACATGTTTTTTTGCGTGTTTAATTAAGCTAAACAATACATTTGCATACAATACATATCTGTACACTAATTATGCATAATTATCCGTAATTCTTATTATTTTATCCTATTTTTCTCTATTGATTTACGACTGAAATGAGTCAATTTTCCTCCTTTTCTTTTTCTTTTTTTCTGGAGCAATATTAATCTGCTAAGAGGGGAAAAGTACTTAATCCTAATCGTTGCATTCCATCATTAGGACACGTACGGTAGGATGGGCTGGTTTAGTCGAGCAATCAAGTCACCAATTAATAAACATCTCCCAGGATAACGTCTGTCATTGCGCCCTTCTCAAGCCTCACCCCCGGGCCTTCTACTAAATCTGTTCGCGGATCGAAAGCTACAGAAGCTGAGCAGCTCGGAACAAAATCCATAAAAATCTGAACATAATTATAGATATTTTAAAATATTATTACATAGGTCCGATTTTAAAAAAAATGAAAGTTTAAAGCTTTGTAGTGTTGCACAGAACTTGTATTTTCTATAGAAAATACAACACTACAAATACACAAGTACAACACATACTACACAAAGTACAACATTATTTTCTATAGAAAATAAAAGTACAACATTGTATAAGACCGGATGTAAGCTACATTTTGTACTTCTCAGTAGGCCGGATTAGCCGGTTTCCGTGAAAGACAACATAAATCTGTAGAAAGAATGAGATTGAAAATAGAGGGTCCCACTCGCTTCATGACTTTCTCATTGTATGCTTGCTATTAGTCATCTCAAAGCCAAGTTAATTAAATAGTTACAGTAATAGAAACACGCAAACATACATAACAATCAAAATTCCACTCCTCGAAAAATCTATCAATTTTATATATAATTACAACGAAAACAAATAAAACTTGTCGTTATATTTCTCACGAAATTGATTTCAATTTATTCATTAATTTTGTTTTTTTTTTAAATTAATTTTATAGATAAATATATCGCCTATAGGCAAGGCGAGAGAAAAACGTTCCTAATGACAAATATAATAGTAGGAGAAAAATATAGACAAGCAAATGATGTGACTTTTTTTTTCCAATATCCTTGACCCAGTTTCAAAACATAAGTTTCTGCTTTAAATTGTTACTAATTTTATACCTTTAAAAGCCTCTTTTGTTCATTCCATAACATTTTAATCGCATTTTATCATCTGCTAGTAGCATCTGACGTGCCTCTGGGTTGTAATCCTGTCAAATGAGGCCCTAATCATTTTAAAAGACAATAATAGAACAATAGTCTTTAACAATTTCTTAGAGGAATCATTCATACTTTTTTTAGTATTTTTAAAAAAATTCCTATTAATGTTTGAATGACATGAGTAGTAAAAATTTGCATAAAGGCTAACTTTTGTCTAAGTAGAGCGTTTACTTAAACATAGTGACTTAGAAGATGCTAAATTTAACACGTCTTATCTCTATTCTAAGCAGAGCCTACAGATTTATCTTCAATTATCATCAGAAATATGCTTGATAATTAACATTTCCGATGATAATTCGAAGCCATACATTTAAATGTCAGAAATTCTGGGGAGGGAATAATTAGAAAAAAAAAACAATTAAATCCTATATCCTACAGGCTACTTCAGTTTAAATCTTAGCTCGATAGTAATTACAATAATCTTTATATCGAACAGAATAAATATATAAACATGTAAATCTATTTAAATTAATTAGAAAACAAACTGGTTAATTATAATTTATAATTTGGAATTATTTATTTTTTAAATGCTGTAAAGAATACTCGTACAGTACATTTGCATTTGTTCCAATCAAGTCAACATTGCTTGCATGCTGTAATTATCCATAATTTTTTAGTATGAAATGTAATTCATGGGGTATAGGCTACATCTGTTTACATTCTAATCCATTCCAATTTAATATTGTTCTTGGCCTAAAAACATTTCTCAAGAACACAAAAACTATAAAATGATATAAATATTCATCGTCTGAAAGATATAAAGATATTTAAACTTATATAAAAGAAGGGGGGCCTTACTATTCTATAAATGGGTGAAATAAAAGTGGCATTCTTGATAATAAATTAGTTTAAAGTGTTAAATATGCAAAATACGAATGTCTTTTTTCTTATTTTGACAGTGATGATTCTCCCTCCACCCGACTTATATTGTATCTGTCGTGTTCTACATTCAGATGTCACTCAGGTAAGTACAGAATGAGTGTTCTGCTTCGTGATCTTTTGTAGCATGATAAATTCTGTAATTTTAACTGTAATGAAGATTTAATAGCGGATAAGATATTTAATATAAATCTAGAAGCGGTTTTATATCTTGAGGTTTATATTAATGCGTGGACATCTGAATGAATAAACGTCAAATGAAAAGAAAAACGCATTACACCCACTCTAATAATAATTTAAGGCTTATTTTAAAATATGAAATTATCTATGAGCATATTACAGTATATTTGTGCTATATAAAACGCGCATACTTGTAATTTATTCAAATTTTAATGAGTTGTGGCCCAATATCAATATATTAATCAATTAATCAATATATGCCCAATGTAGGCATTTTGTTCCATTAGTTACAAAGCTGTGTAGGCCTATTAGGGCCTAAAATATGTATGCAATTAAATATAGCTTTTTACTACATTAAACTCATTTTAGATTGATTTAAGCCTAGCTTTATATCATTTATAGTGACTAAAGATTTTAGTGTTATTGTGGATTAATTGATGAATTATCAGTTGTAATATGTTGTAATAGCTATGATATAAATTTATATAGTTATATACCAATTGTACGTACCTTCACAGCAAATGCTTTTGATCAACCACGCCCTGTAGATCAACATTCCAATGGATTCTTTGCGATTCAATAGTTCAAACGAAGCCTCAAAGGCTTGGCCTGGAGGGTATGAATTAACAGTCTAATGAATTGAAGACTAGAATCTGTTTAAATTTTATATATCTTATTGGCATCTAGACAGCGGCATGTCTCTTCATATGCAAAGAGAGATGATCGGAACGAGAGAAAGCCCTTTCGCACAGTCTACACTGGAAGGGCCTATCGCCCGTGTGTTTACGAAAATGTCTTGTTAGTTCGTCAGATCTGGCGAATTTCCATCCACAACCTTTCCACGTACACTGGTAAGGTTTTTCACCCGTATGGGTCCTCAGATGAGCCTTCAGATGAGAGCTCTTGGTATAAGTCTTGTTGCAGGCGGGATGTGAGCAGGTATGAATGGTTATCTTTTTCCTACCGTTGCTCCTACGCCCTCTTCTAGATTTCGCAGGCGGTAGAGGTTGGGGAGGTGCCAGACATACAGTGGCACCTGTTGATATTCCTCCATTGTTATAGACCCCGTTGTTGTTGGCTAAAAGGTCTGCTAGATGGGGTGATGACGGTGGAGTCACCATACGCAGGTGTGACACGTGAGGTAATGAGCTGGTTTGATAGACCGGGTGCTGTATGACACTCGGTGGGCCGCGCGGGTGTGTTACCATTTGAGCTTGACTATAGTGGTCGATGGAATTTGTCTGTGTTACGTAACCTTGAGCTGACGTTTCGGGAGAGGCTGGTGGTGACATGTGCGAATGAATTGGACCTCCGTAAGTTCCCCAATGTCCTGTATATACGGGAGGAGCTCCGTATGATCCTCCTGTAGCTCCCATAGGTGTTCCGTAACTTATAGAGTAGGAAGAAGTAGTAGATTGTCCATATTGAGGATAACATCCGTAGGATAAATCGTGAGTGGTGGCAGTTGTGTAAGGTGTGTAATTGTTCGTTTCTCTTTTGTAAGTGCGGTAATTATTGTGGGTGCTACTCGAGTAATCTGTATTCAATCTGCTTACACTTTGTTGATGTTGATTTTCTGTCGGCGGATAATTTTGAAGAGAAATTTGGCTACTTCTTATCTGACTGGGAGAATACATGTTTCTGACTTCTTGGTGATTAGAATCACCTAAAAGAACACTTTCTATATCTTGCCACACCTGAAATGCATATAAGAATATATTAAGAATCATTATTCTAAAGAAAATAATAAACTTACCTATTAAAATTCTGTTAAATGTTGGTAAATTGTTATAGTGTAAGCTAAATAATATTATCTGTAACACATATTAGCATAAATTAAATCAATAAACTTGTATCAAAAGCGATCATTAAATACACTATGGAACGAAAAAAATAAATTATTCAGCTTAATAAGATTAATTTAAACTTCGGGTTTTATACAATTTCCAAAAACAAACTGTAAATGTTTGTTAAATAGATTAAAGTAGAGAAATCCCATTACATTTATTTGCCGGTTAAATCAAAGAATGAAAAATCAACGCCTGAAAGCCTATCGAATATCTTTATTGGCAATAAAGATATTGAAACTGATATCATATCCTTTGTTTAAAATCTATTTTATAGGCTATATATTATTTTGAAAATTCTAGAATGGAATTTTTACATGTATCGTCACACTATCTCAAATTAGATTCGACATAAATTGAATAATAAACAAGATAGTAGCGAAGACATCCGATTTAAAGCTTCAAAAACTTTGTTAGTATGCACAATTTCGATTTGTAGATATGCCGAAAAAGCGAGAATAAAGTGATTTTAAACCTGTTAGCTCCTATCAGTATCAAATACATTTAAAATCACATTTTTTTTTTTTTTTAAGAATTAAGAGATATCATCAAATACATTAAATATATACATGTATACTAGAAAAAAAAAAAACTAGAAATATTGATAACAGGTTAAGTAACTTTCACTTTTTCTGAATTGAAATTCCGATAAGAGTTAACTTTTGTTCAGAATCTTAAATATGATATAAAGCATACAAAGTGATAAGAATTAAAGTTGAATAAATGTCTTAAATAAAAGGTTTGGGACAAGATATATAAATCCCAGTCGATGAAAATTCATGCAACTAAGCTATTTTGAAAGCAAATAATCGAAATTTTCTATTTTAAAAAATACAATAGAAATTAAATTATTATGACTAAAAAAATGGTGAACTTATAAGAATGTTTAAATTTAATCTCATTAATAGCGTGGGCCTGTTTGTTGAATATAATCATCTTATAATATGTTGGGAGTGACTAACTCGATAAGTGGGCCCACTAGTGGCACGCAAGAATTTTAAACCATTCTATGTGCTCTGCATCCCAAAATAATAGCTTTTCTTCAATTGCATGCTATTAAGTTTATTTTTATAAATAATTCTATCATATATTTTATGCTAATTTCGTGCATTTTAAAATGTAAATTAAAAATTTAATTTTTAAAACCTTTTTTTTTTCCCCGTTTTAATAACATCTGTCTCTAGGTTATCAAGAATGTTGTTTAATCCGTTGTATAAAAATTTACAACTTGTAAATAAGCAAAATAATGAAATATAATTAATGATGATGGTGCTGATTATTATTTTTAATTTAATCATTTAATAGACGATGTTCAAGCGATTGAAATGTATTAATGCAAATTTAAAAAGAGAAAAAAATCATGCATAATTGTCGATTTTTTTAAACGTCAACAACGCAAATTAATTATGATAGCAAGCTATATAAAACGGTAGCTAAAAAAGCAGGTGGAGAGCATACTTACGTCATGGAAATCTGCCATTTCGGAACTCATAGCAGTTAACGTCACTGACATGGAACACGAGGTTCCCCTTCTTTCAGATTTATGCTTTTAAAAATTTCCAGCTGAAATCAGCGTCATCCAAACAGACAGGTAACTCCAGGTACACTGGACTTTTGAGTGCGAGGATATTGCCATCCTGTATTGGCCTCGTTCTACACGCTACTCCTCGCACTCCTATTGGTTGATAAACGAAATCAACCAACTCGCGATTGCCAATAGTGAAAAAGTATGCGATGCTAGACCAATGGGATGGTAGTGGGAGGAGTAATGGATTTAATCTGTGCAGAAACGATCTTTTTTTTCAATGTTGTTCGTCGAACGGTATTGTCTAGTCTTTTATAAATGTCTCGGTTTTAATATAAATTTAATTAAATAAAAATAAATTTAAATATTCCATTTTTTGAGGTTTTAAGTGTATTTATTTCAAATTTTTTTTTCTGTTATTTAAAATCTTTTTAAAATATTTGGTTATTAAACTATAACTTTTAATTATAGATATGTCCTATGTAAGTAAAGTGTACGCCAAAATAATCTGAAGAGTTGTAGTTATATGTAATTTTAAAATATTAAGAGATGGTCATCTATTTCATATAATTAATATTAATTTTTATAAATTTAATTAGCTTGACTGCATAAATCTTTATATAAATTATAATCTATTCAATAGTTGTAATCTCTATACAGGTCTTTTCTATTATATAAATCTGGATAAATCTTCAAAATTTACTGCTTAGAGTCATATTTTTTTATATGTAAATAAATAATATTAAGTTTAGTTTATTTAAATTAATAGTACTCTATTAATTTTTAAAATTACCTTAGTAATAATTTAGAAATTTATCTATTTATATATAATTTAAATTTACATCTGTAGAGAAATTGCATTGAAGTCTGTTGTATAAAATTTTTATATTTAACTTAATAGTTTAATTAACGTTAAAATAAATTGAATTATTTAATTAAACAGCTCTGTAAAGTATTTAAGTACTTTTTCTTTATCTTCCAAAACATTAATAATTACTTTTATAAATAAAATCTACAAAATCTTATATTTGAAGGCTAAATATACCAATTTAATGTCCAATGAAAATATTATACTTTAGCCTAAAGGGTCTATAGGCTTATTAAGTTTAATTAAAACACCATAAAAAGATTAATTAATCATAATTCATTTAAATTGGAAGTTAGACAAACTGCTACCTGTAAGCTGAGTTCTTCATATTAGCTTAGCTTATCGAATAACATTACAGTAAATTATTTAGATTTATAAATTAAATTAATTTTAAAAGCATTTAGCTTGTAATTTTTATTAAAATTGCACAATAAGAAGTCCAGGAGAAAATTTAATTCGGAAAAATTATCAGTGTGTCTAAAGATTTATCAAACTTAGAAAATTTATTATTCTTATCAGGATCGGGTTGTGAAGAGAAATGAAACGTTGAAAAAGATAAGAAAAATATACTGTATACATTTGCATTCGAGCGTTATTAATAAGAATAGCCTGCATGCATCACTCGTGATATTTAACAAGCGAAATTTCTCCTCGCTCGACAAGCATTTACCTAGCAGCAATGAAAGAAAAACGTTATAAATTTGAATAGCTTAGAATTTGAATAGATATTTTTAAATTCTGCCCTTCATTCACTAAAATATCATTTTAGATTTACCACAAAAACTAAAAAAAAATTCATTGATTAAATTGTGTTAAGAAGTACAGCGCATATTTTGTAGATTTAGATTAAATTACGCATTAAGTTCCAGTAAAAGTGTTTTTAAACATTAATTTTTATAATATTCATATATTTTAGCATAATACATAAGTAAAGGATTTTGTTTTATATTCGCAAATTCTAATTATATGGTCTAATTGAGGTCCATTAAAGTCTTACATATCTAAAATTTCATATAGGCTACTTTACAAAGATCAATATATTTGTAAGAAATAAACAGTTTTTCATTGTTATTTCGAGAAATTAGTTTTAGAGAAAAAAGATCAATTATATTTTTGTAAAATATAGTTCCTAATTATTTCAATTAAATGCAAAATTTGCAGTTGTGTATACAATCTAGTAAGAGTTAAACATAAAATTTGCATATAGATTTTGATAGCGATTTACTCTCATATTAAACTTTAATCAACAATCAAAGAAAATTAATTTGTCAAGGCAAGCATTAAATTTTCTGTAAATACAGAAAACATAAGGTTTTCTCTTATCTACCTATTATTCAAACAGTAATAAATAAAAATAAAAAAGCTTTAAACTGACATAGACCTGTAACCTACGTTTTATATATAAAGTCAATATAAATAATCAGAGTAATTTATACTGACTAAAATATATTTAAAATAAACTGTATAATTCATTTTCATGTTTAGAATTTTCCTTCAAATCTAAAAGTCTAGTTTACAATCTCTTTAACGTGTAAAGTTGATTTATAGATTCAATTTATGCCAATATAGGCTACTTATTTTCTGCACTTATTACTTATATAATTACGTTATTTAATTAAAATAATTAAAAATTATTTTAATTATTTTGTGAGTCTAATATTTACATACTTTTCCTCTTGTGTAGACTTCTGATTTTCTTCCTTGGTTTGAAGATTCGGTTCGGTTTGAAAGTAAAAATATGAAGTAAATGTATTCAAATGATTCAGTAAGATACAGATATACTACTAATTTTCTGGTATCTTCTTTAATCAGGACAAAATTACGAGTTTATACCTGAAATTCCGGCGAATGTCAGAACTGATCATTGGTAAATTACTGAAGACGTAATGAACGCTTTTTCGGGATGGGCTACTTATATTTTAAGTAGATAAGTCAGTCTCGCGACAATTTTTTTTATAAACATTAAATTTGTACATTAAATGGCTTGAATTTTCCAGGAATGTCGCCGAGAATACGGAACTTAATAAGATATTAATATTCAATTTTTATAACAATTTTTCTTGCAATTCACAATGCTTTAAAGACATGAGATGAGCATAATTAATGCATCAGGAATGCATTATTGAGTTATTATTAGATGATTACCGTTAGTCCGGCAAAGCGGATAATTGACAAGGCTCTGTGCCCAAGAGTTACGGAAAATCGGTGATGTGTCAAGTTTCATCAAGAGTCTTCGGATTTTATTTATAACAGGGCCTGATTAATTCCAAATATTTAAAACTGTTTTGATCTAATTTTGTTTTATATTTTGTAGATATTTGCTAAAGACCCATGAGTTATTAAATATTTTACATTTATTTTGAAATTTAATTTCTAACATTTTTTATGTTAAAATTATATACAGTATTAAGTAATATGTTAAATAGGCCTATAAGTTAAAAATAGATAAGAATTGATGTAAGCATCGTTTATACAAAAAAAATAAAATAAAATAGAAATAGACGTATCATTAAATCTTTTAAATAGATCTTAATTTAAAATGTTTAAACAGACCTAAATAAATATAGTATTAGCCTAAATCTTATAAAATTTGAATTAAAATAATTGTAAATCCCTTTAAGAATAAAATTTAATAATATTTTCACTTTAAAAATGCTGTATAGTCAATGTTTAAGATAAGAATTTTGTAGGATCTCGCCCTTGTCAACTTTAAAAATACATTATCGGACATTTATCGAAGCTATTAAATTTTTTCATTAAGAGCAAGATACAAAATCCAATCTGAAGAGATATCCAGTAGAGTACATCCTTACTTCAATATTCAATTAGTTAGGGAAAAGGAGGAGCCACTTTCAGTTTGGCTAATGGAACCAAACCACGTCAATGCATCTGCCACTGTCGGCTAAAGAACACTAATGTCACGCAGTCACGCAACTCATCTTTCGATTAGAAAGCTCTACAACATCTGCTTTTGTCTAACAAAAATGAAGACAGATAAAGAACACAATTTATTTTTTTTATTTTGTAATTTTTGTTGACACAAGATAACGACACGATCGCGTGTAAAAAAACAATACTCTAACAGTTGTTGCTTGCTTTCTTTGTTTAAGCGGTTATTCTACAAATTAAAATTTCATGAAATATATGATGTTGGTAATTCAATTACATTCATTTCATTATATATATATATATATATCGTGACGGGTCAGCATCTGTAACAAATTATGCCTATTAAAAGATGACTTTGCTCATGAATTGATAAATATGCTCTACATCAAGTTTTATAAATATATGTTATGAAATAAATCTAAAATTAATTTTGAAACTTTTCAAGCTGTGAAAATTTAATTTAGTTACATCAATAATTAATTATAAAAATCAATAAATATAACTTATGTATATTGAAAATGCATAATAAACGGGGCGAAAAAATTATAATAAAATAGATTAATGAGTGTTTCAAAATTATCAGAATTTTCTTAATTTGTAAAAATTTTAAATTGTTATATTCAGACTAATTATCTTAAGCATGTATATATATATGTATATAGGCCTATATATGCAGCAATAACATTATAAAAGAGATATGTAGAGGAATTAAAGAAAGGCTGCCGAACAGGCCGTCCAGAACTTGTATGGGGTCCTGGTTACAGAGTCCCTTTTGATATTTTTTGAGCAAATTAAATAAAAATTACTCTTAAAAATTGTATTTTTTTGTTAGTAAAAATTACATTGATTTATAGGTGCAGGAACCACGAAGGACTTCTAAGTTTTTTTCCAGTCAGGGAAAAATCCCTTCTCCCCTCCCTTTTGACAAGAAGGGAAGCCCTACTGCTGAATGCTAATTAATATGAGGTAAGTGTGTTACGGATCTGAATGTGATGCGGAAGATAAGTGATAATTGATGTGTCTCTTTTAAATTTTAAAAATATATTTAAGTCGACAAGAGCTCAAAAATTAGGATCTTTACACTAAATTTTTTTTAATACAGACTAAAAAGTATTTAAAATAAATTTAAAAAATTCAAGATTTTTCCCAAAGAAATAAATTCGAAGAAGCGATAGTATTTTTTTCTTCTCTCTCTCTTTTTTTAAACTTAATGTTAGCATCTCATAAATCATTTTTATAGTCTTTTTTATAATTGCAATTCCTTTCTTAATTGGATAGGAAGATTAACGGTCGTTTATATGGCACAGGAAACGA